ATTGCTTGGGGGGGGGGGGGGGAGGGCTGGGTGCCACCTTGTTCAGATCTTGGCTCTGCTGGCAGTGCTGCTGTCTGAGCACATGTCGTGTCATGTCTTTGGCACATCCCTTATCCCATGCACCCAAAGCAGTCAGATGGTTGGATCCTGGTGGATTTGTTGCACCATATAGCAACTAGGACCTCATAAAGCTGCCTGGGCACCCACCCACCATGCCCAGGGCTGTGCTGGCAGGCCCTAGGACAAGGGGACCAAGCCCTGGTTTCAACAGGGTTCTCTTCCCCTCTCTCTGAGACACCTCACTGTGCTTGGAAACAGCCTGAGCCTGGGCTCCCTCCAGAACAGCCTAGCAGGGCCGGGATGTGTGTCCCCTGCTCTGCGTCCGGCCTTCCCCAGTAGCGCGGGGATGGCCAATGTCCTGGAGCGACTGGGGGCAGAGTCAGTAGGAGCTGGGGCAGGAGTCGGGGCTGAGCCCTGCTGCCAGCGCTGGGGGAGCAGCAGCAGCTCCAGAGCCTGCCCTGGCATCCTGCAAGGCAGCAGCGACTTGCTCCAAATAAAAAGCCTCAAACCACTAATGGTGTCAGTGTCCACCTGAGAGGGCTGGGCCAAGGTCTCCTGCCTTACAGGGTCCCCACAGCTGGCACCCCGGCATGACCTGGCTCTGCAGCGCGTTGGCCTGTGGCACCCGCAGGGTACCCCAGTTCCCCCTTGGCTCTGGCAGCACCCGTGGCTCTTGCTGGCCTGGAGCTGGAGGTCCCACGCTGGGGTCTGGGGTGCCTCCCCAGGCAAGGCCTGGCACTGTCTTGGTGCTTGGGGCCACCACCAAGAGGAGTGGGCACAGCCAACCACTGCACCTTGGAGGGATGGGAAAGGGATGGGGGCCCAGTCCTCCGGGGGTGGTGGGATGGAGGTGCCAGTCCAAGCAGGATGGGGACTGAGCAGAGACAGTCCAAGTGGGGTTGGAGGATGGGAATGGAGGAGCTGGTCCAAGAGGGGCTGTGGGACAGGGATGGGGGCGCTGGTCCAAGCGAGCTGGCAGGATGGGGATGGGGCTTGAGCAGAGCCAATCTGATGCTCCTGGCAGCTGCCTTCCCTCTCTTGCAACCTGAGAAAACCCCAGCCAGCCCCAGTCCTGCCTCAAGCTTCCCCTGCCCCCCTCCCTCCCTCCGGGCACCCGCAAGCTCTTTGGTGTGCTGGAAAAGCCCACGGAGGAGGGGAGCTGGGCCAAGCCCGCTGCAGGCCTGTCCCGGCGACCACCAGGGCCTGGCCCAGGAGCAAAGGTGCTAAACCTGGGAGCTGGACCCAGCCTGCACGCCCAGCCTGCGCGCCCGCTCAGCACTGTACGCCAGGCACAGGCTGCAGGGACACCCAGCGGCCACAGCAGGCACCTCTTGGAGCTGCATTTTGGGACCACAAAAGGCGGCAGGAAAAAACACCTGAACGGGCTTTGGTCTGGCCCTGCGAGCGAGGAGCAGGACGGGCCGCTCTTCAGTCGGCCGATGCTCAGCAGCATGTGGATGCTGGTCCGGGCGCTGCAGATTGGGGCAGAGATGGCATCTGCTGGGGAAAGCCACGGACTTGGCCTTCCTCTGTGGGTGGCCAGGGCCCCCAGCAAAGCCACAGCCGGTCTGGGTTGGCGGTTCAACGGAGGCACCTGGAGCAGCCCTCAGTGCCCCCAGCTGCGCCAGGGAGGGGGCTTGGGGCTGGTATTTCCCCAGCACCACCGGGGATCAGGCTTCCAGGGAAGGAGCCTGCAACACTGGGGCTTCAGCTCATCTGCTGCCCTTGCCCTAAAGCAGCGCTAGGTTTGGGGATGTGCCTGAGACCCTGGAGAGCTCGTGGTGCTGGGGTGCCAGCCACGGTGTCGGGATGCCGGGCCAGGGCAGGTGTCCTCCTCCTGGGCACCCTGGCTGGGACAGCTGCCCTGAGCCCGGCCAGCGAGGGTCATTCCTGCAGTCCCATGTGACACATTGAGCCCCTCAGTCAGGGGTGGCTGCGCAAGGGTCCAGTCCTGCTAGAGGCATAGTGCAGGGTCCCACAAGCTCAACCACGAGGAACTGGTGGAGCTGCTGGGCCCCAGATGTTGTCCCCAGGCTCGTGCCATCCTGTGCCTTAGAGATCTCATCGGAGCACAGCACTTGTGGGCAGGTCGGCACCCGGCGCCGTCCCCGAGCTGCTTGAGGGAATGCTCCACAGCCACCAGGCCTTTCTCAGCATCACCAGGTGCTCTGTGACATCAGAAAAAGTGGTGATATCAGGCAGAACAGGATCAGAAGGGTGGCATCAGGAGGAGCGGGGACACCGGGCAGCACACTCCAGGGCTGCCCACAAGCCACCAGGGACCAGCCCAGGGCAGGACGGGTGTCAGAGGCAGCCAGCACAGTCACCGGAAGGGTAAGACAGCCACGGGCCCAGCGCAAAGGCAGCCCCGGCCATCGCTGAGGCCGGTGGGAGGGGACTCGGTCCCCACCCTGTGGGGCCAGCGTGTGGTGGAGGCAGCAGAGCTGCTGAACTGCCCATGGGTCTGCGCGCAGAGCACTGTGTTGCATCCTTCCCGGCCCCAGGGTGCCACGCGGGTGCTCCCGTTCACAGCAGGGTCGAGCCACGGCCGGAGGCGCGAGCCAAGGCGGGGGTGGAGCCCTGCACCCCACGACAGCCCCCATCAGGGCCTCCCCGTTGAGGAGGGCTTCCACGTCCAGCAAGAGCCTCAAGTACGTGCAGGCAGAGCTTCCTCCTCGAATGTGGGGAGAACTGGCACCCGCTCGGCTTCGGTGAGGGCAGGGAGAGGCACCGGTGGTGACGGGCACAACGTCTTCGCAGGTGGCCTGGCCCGCGGCATGTGACGCTCGTCGCCGAGACGTACCCGTCACAGCATATGGTGTGCAAGAAGAACGTGCCTCAGGTGGACACAGGGACGCAGGTGAGGGTGGGCAGCGATGGCTCACGCACATGCAGTTACCTGGGTCCTGCCTGGTGCATGCCTGGATCCCCTCAGACATGCAAGATCTCAGCCCCAGGGACGCAGCCAGCCTGGGGCCGTGCATGGGGATCTTCACCGCCTCTGGGGACAACGATTTGGCATGGAGATGGATTTGGGCAGCAAATGGTCCTGGGGACCCTCCCTGGGATGGGGCTGCGGCGTCCCTGCTGTTCCTCTCTCCTGTGCTTGGCCTGCGCTTAATGGCGTGGGTGCCTCCGGCCCTAGACCACCCCTTCCATCGAGATGCTCCTGAAGCAACGGCGGCCACTGGGCAAGAGGAAAGGGAAAAGCAAGGATGGGAGCTGCAGCCAGGCTCGGTGCGCCTCCCAGGCCAGCTGCGACAGGGACAGCGTCCCCCAGGCACCGCGGTCCACGGCTCCCAGCCTCACCAACGTGGCCAGCAGTGGGAGGCCGGGCGCACCAATGGCCATCACACCCCACAGCAGGTAGCACAGGGACCAGCTGGTGCCAGAAGCTGGGTTCAATACCCAGTGCCCTGTGGGGTCCCCCAGGCAGGGGACGGCACTCAAAGCTGATGCTCGGCATGTGTCCGTCTGCTCCCTCGGTAGGAAGAGCGAAGTCTTGTGCAACCTCTATACGAACGTGTATGACAAGGTGGGAGAGGATCAGGACGAGGCTGTGCTGGAGATGGAAGGTAACCCCCAGTGCTGGCACATTCATCCCATTGCAAACCAGTTTGAGAAGAGCCGGCTGCTGCCAGCACTGGGAGTGTGGGATGCACCTTTGGGTCCACTCAAGGGGCACCACTAGAGACCAGGGTCCCCCACCAGGCCTGGAGGTGGCATGTCACATCCCGGCCAAGACAGAGATCTCGGAGGCCCCCCGCAGCCCCTTGGCCATCCCCGCAGGGCTGCCACGAGCGCGCTTCATCTTCCACGCCATCCGGGACGGACAGATCCACGTGGAGGACCTGCCACAGGTGCTGCAAGCGCTGGGGCTGCCAGTGAGCGACGCAGAGCTGAGGCAGGCCCTCGAGCTCGTCCCCGTCGATGGTGAGCACCAGCGCCGGGAGCCACTCACTGCCGTGCCGTGCCCTGCACCAACGGCCGCTCCCTCTTGCAGCGCACGGGAACCTTGACTTCCACGGCTTCCTGGGTGCCCTGAGCCAGACCACAGCCGCTGCTGCCACCTCCGAAGGTAAACAACGGGCAGAGGAGTTGATATCGGTGGAGTTTTACTCCTGTTCTAGCTTGGCTAAACAAGGCTTTCCACTCCTGAGCCAAGCTGCTCCAACTGCTCCTTCCCAACACGGTGGGACCTGGGCAGCTTTGCAGGAACCGCTCTCCTCCTCTTGGTCTGTGCAGCTTTCCAGCCCATCTACGAGGCCTTTGGCAAGATGAAGCAGGGCTCCATCGCTGCTGCTGACCTGCAGCCCGTTCTGCTCAGCCTGGGCATCCGCCTGCCACCTGGGACACTGCAGGAGAGGCTGCAAAACGCCCAGGGGGAGGTGAACATCTCCAACTTGGTGGCAGCCCTGGGCGACTCTGAGCACCACCGCAAGGACACGGATGAGTGTGGCCCCCTCACAGAAAGCGGAGATGCAGTGTCCGGTGTGATTTTTGCACCCGCTGGTTATCCCCGCTGTCCATTCAGCCTCGGCTCCCTTGTCACCGAGCTGCTTTTTCCCCAGAAGGACCCGCAGGGCCGTGGCCTCAGGAGACATCAGCCAACAGCAGCCAGGCCAGAGATAGGGTGGAGGGTAAGAGGCAGCTGTGCGCGGCAGTGGGCGATGGGGACGGGAGTGTTGCGTGGCCTCTGGGCACACTGGGCAGCTTTCGCACACATTTAGCCATGGAGATGTTTGCAGGCCGGGAGACAGCATTTCCTGGGGCGCAGAGCCCCTGCAGCACGACTAGGAACCTGGCAACTATCACGGCCTTGGTTCCCGCAGGCTCAGAGCAGCTCCTGGCTTATTTCTCTGCCTGGCATCACTGGTAAAGCCGAGTGAGGTTAGAATTTGTCCTCCCTTCGGCCTAGGGAAACAGAGGTACAGGGCTCATAATTGACCACCCAAAAAAATATGGGTGTCTTTAGCATCCTACTTCATCCCCAGGGTTTGGCCACTGGCACAGAGTGTCTTGTCAGAAAATTCTCCACCGAGCCCAGTGCCAGCCCTGGAAAAGTATCTAATTCTGTCCCAAGCATTGCTGTGGATAAATAAATGCCTGCTAGCGAGACCCAATAATCTCCTTGATGTACTCTGTGGGCTCTGCAGCCCGGCAGGATCCTTTCAAGCATGTCGACGGGATCAAAGCAGATAACACTGAGGCTGCAAAGCTGCGCTCCATCCTCCAAACCACGGGCATCCACCCGACAGAGCAGGAGTTTGAGGAGGCTCTGCAGAAGGTGGCTCCGGAAAGTGAGTCTTGCAACTGCCCTGCCCTCTGTTGGGGGTCCCGCAGGAAGGGGGGATCCTTGTCTCCCATGTTCAACACCGTCCCCAGTGCAGAGGGGTAACATCCCTCCGTAGCACCATTAGGTTTTAGGGGACCATGTCTCGGACCCATTCCACTGGTGCAAACTGGAGGCAGCACCACTGGGCGCAGGAGCTGCCCCCTTCCCACTGGCACAGTCAGGCCCATCGATGGGGCGGGCTCTCATCTCGTGCCAGTCAGGGCTGCTCTGATACTACAAAGTCAGAAATGTGGTCCTAGTTTATCGCCTGGCTTTAAACTAGCCTGCACTTAGTCTAAATCGAGCCCGTGACACCTGCTAATAGAGATGTGCCCAGTCCAGAATAACCTTTGCTTAAAGCCAGTGTTGCTCCATTCAGTAAATGGTTCAAATAGGATTTCATGCAGTTCAAGGGCCCAGAAGGGTGAAGGTAAAATCAGTGCAGCCGGCACTCTGCCAGCTCATGCTCTATTTCAGAGCACTTTATTTCACTTTCTGGCTTCTATTTGACTCACAAATGTCTGTTTGCTTTTCTGTCCCTTTCTCCATGTCCTTCACCCATGCCGGGGTGCGTTGGGATGGTGCAGAAGACGGGACGGTGAACCTGGCTGCCTCCATGACTGCTCTGAGCAGCAGCCAGCGCTCATCTGAATATCCGAGTGAGTTGGGCAGGCGGGCAGTGGGACTGGGATGTGGTTTAAAAATTCTCCAGGTGTCATGTGTCCTGGTGCGTGTCCCTGTCCTGGCACATATGTTGCCAGCCTGGCAGTGGGTCCGCGTGCTGCTGTGAAGAAGCCCCACTGCCAGTGGCAAAGGGGCCAAGCTCATGCTCAGACTCCATGTGGCTCTTTCTCCGCTTCGACAGCACCAGAAAATGCCGTCGGTGCTGCCAGTGCCTTTGAGAGTGACCAGCTGGCTACGAGTGACCTGGTGGCCTGCACAAACCAGCTGGGCATCCAAGAGGGACTGGAGAAGGCTTCTGCGGACAGTGAGCACACATGGGGAGAGCCTAGCCCTGCAAGGATGTGGTGTCCTGCTCACAGCTCCCACCATGCCGGTGAGCCCCAGCTGCCATATTGGGGTGACATGTAGCTGAAGTGGTTCCCTGCAGTCTGTTGGGAAGGTACCTGCCATGGTGAGGAGGGCCCTGGAGATGTGCATCCCAGGAGGAACTGGGGGACGTTCTGCCCATCCCCACTTTTGTTCGCCTTTTGGGGAGGATATGGTGGCTCTGGTGGTGGAGGCAGCCCTTGGAGGGCTCCAGGAGAGAAGGTGGTGGCAGCAAGGCTCAGCTCCATGTTGAGTACGGCTTGCCTGGGGCCTGCCAGGGATGGGGTAAATGCCTCCCTGCATCGTTGTCTGCAGGGATCTTGACTCAGGTATCTTTTCCACACACCCACAGCCATGCAGGAAGCCTTAGAGATCCTCAGCAAAGTCAAGAACAACCAAATGGAGGTGTCCCAGCTGGGAGAAGTTCTGGCCAACATGGGCATTGTGCTCCCAGAGGAAGAGCTGCGGGAGGCTCTCAGCAGGGTCCCTGTCACCGGTGAGCCACGCAGGAGAGCCTCGGGGAATTACTCCAATGAGCCATGTTCCTCTAGAGCCTGAGGAGCAGCATCGCCCCTCCTCAGCGCTCCAGTGTTGGGTTAGTGACTCTGCTCATGTGGTGCAGAGCAAACTATGCCAACTGAAAATAGCTGCATCGTTGATGTGCTGGCCTCACACTCATTATCCCCTCGCCTAATTTTCCCCAAGCAACTCTTTTTCCAGGTCACTGAGGGCTGAACTCACCTTGGTGCCTTTCCATCTCCCACTAGTCACCATCAGGCTCTCTGGCCCTGTCTGACCTGTGTCTTCTCCTGTAGGAGATGAGAAGGTGAATTTTAAAGCATTTATGAAAAGCTTGACCAGCACCAGGAGACTCTCTGAAACCGCACGTGAGTGAGAGGTTTATGACCATTGGTAGTACCATTGATCTCTGTGATCCCTCAGAGCCAGAGTTTCGAGGCTGTGGTTAGTGTAATAACTACGGCAGATTCTGAGGGGGATCCTGGGTGGTTTTGAGACACCTTGGTGTCATGCCTTCATATTGGGTCTGCCTTTTCTTCTGGTTGCTTTTAATGGCAGCACAATGTCTCCAAGTGCTATGCAGGAGACTCCACAGATGAGGAGCTCAGTTCTCTGCAGGATTTTCTTCCTGGCACCTATGTGGCACCACAATGTACAGATTAAGGCCAACAGAGGGGGAGCTTGCCTCACTATTGACCACCACAGCTCCCAGACACTGTTGTGACACCAGAAATCAGCTAACTGCAAAGCCAGGGAAGCCACAAACCCCCAGTCTTCCTCCCACCCAGCCACTCGTGGAGTGGAGAAGAAGGCTGGAGGGAGGCAACGGTAGGACCTCTACATTGTTTAGTTGTTTCCAGATTTGGGGGAAAGTCTCAAGTGCTCTTTAAACTGCTTTAAAGTAACTTAATTTTGAGGCAAGGAGGGCTAGCAGCATTGCTCTGTACTACCCTCCTGTGCTGGGTCCCCATGCACGGGTGCATACGGTGGACAAAGCCTCTGTAACACAGAAGGTGTCTCTCATTTCCCGTGATGCTGCGGGATGAGATGAGGCCCCGCTCAGCAAAGCTCCCGGCCCCTTAATGCCGTCGGATGCAGCTGCTCCCAGGATCAGGCCCACGATCAGGAGGACCGGCAGTCTGGAATAGCTCTTTTCCCCTGAAAATCAGGGCAGACTGTTTCCTCTGGCTGGCGCATGCAGCCAGAGGTGCTTCGTGGGGCAGGAGATGAGACCGAGGTCGCGACTGCTCAGTGCTCCCCAGGGGAAGCCATTTGAGAGCGTAATAACTCTAACCGTGCTGAACCTGAGGATTTTGGGCGGCATCGATGCTGTTGGTGTTAAGGACCGCTAGATGGTGATGTCTGTACGCACTCGCTCAGATGCTCTCCACCTTTCTGGCCGCCTCTGATCCAGCACCAACGGGCATCCCCAGAGAAATGTCTTGGAGACACCGATATCTTTCCAGTTTCATCCTTGCACCCTGAGTTTGTAGGTTGGACTCCGTACAGGGCATTTTTCGCTAAAGCTGTGCTCAGTTTTCACATGCTGGCCCGAAACTATCAGTGATGAAAGGGAGCATCTAGGCAAAGTCTGGGCCATCCTGGAGGGTAGGAGGGGAGAAGAAAAGCAGTGAAGCATTATGCAAAGCCCTGCATATACCCAGATGGGGAGCAGGTTAATATGGCTGAAAGATGTCACTTAAGATACTGCCAGTGACTGTCCCTTCACGAGGGCTGCTCGGTCCTGCACAGCCAGTGAGAGCTCCTCCAGGCCACGCTAAGCTGGCGCCCGCTCAGCTTTGTGGAGCCTGATGGCGCAGGAAGGTTAAACATGTTGAACACGAAAACCTGCCCAGGGAGACTCATGGGCACTACTGCAACGGCGCTCGCAGGGCTTGTCATCTGTAGGACCGCCAAGTGCCCAGAGACACCCTGCAGACGGCACTGGCTTGGTGGCTGCTTTGAAATGAAGCTCCTGGACGCAGCCTCAGCTCCAGGTTCATACAGCTCAGCTCTCACCCTGAGGCCAGCTGGGGGCAACTTATGATTTGGGAGCATTTTCTTCCTGCTTTGCACACATGGTGGCAATGGCAGAACTGTAAGAGCCAGCCAATCTCTGGTAGTGCTGACAACGGAGAAATCTGGTGCTGGGCTCTTTTTTGCTCTTTAGCCTTCTGTCCAGCTTTGCATCTTACAAAGGAGCATCACGTTTATGTCTTACAAGGAAGCCTTCTTGCATTAATGGTCCTGAGTGCAATTGGAGCTCTCCTTGGAAATCATTTATACGTCAACATCCTTTACAAATTGATGTCTGTTCATAAATCCAAGAATGAGCAAAGCTCCTCCTGGTGCAGCTAGAAGTCAACCTAAGGTGCATTCATAACCAAGAACTGTACAAAATTTTCCAAAATGAAACACATCTCACCATTGATTCTACGGAAGCAGGTTGATGCTGGAGAGCTGAAGTCTCATCCAGCTCAAATGGGAACCCACATAACAGACCAGGGGATCCCGGCGGTGTTGGAGCATGTGGCTGTGGATGGTGGTTTTATTAGCACCTTAGGGTTGTTCAGGATCTGGACCATTTGTTGTGCAGAAAGTACTGAGGATGAAAGAACTGGAATAAAGAAAAAAATCAAAATAGCGATGCTTCCCAGGACACAAAATTATGGGAAAAATTCAAGTTGGGAGGGACATCAAGGTAGGGTCGGCTATGGAATCAAACCAGGTTGCTCAGGGCTTTAGCTGTTGATAGGACCTCCTGGGGCTGCAAAGGAGTTGGGGTTAGTCTTGGACTCCAGAGTGCATTGCTCTGGGGGAAGCTTGGACCCCCAGCCTAGATGGCTGCCTGGCCGAAAAGGCCCTGGTTTGGGAAGCAGTTTTGCAATGAGATTCTCTAAAATCCCCAAATCCACTGTGCATATGAGGGTTCCTGATGGCGGAAACTTTCCCTTCTCAGTGAGACATTCAAAGCTGCAGCCAAACGGATCCCCCAGCTCTTGTCTGTGCTTTGGGCTCTCCTTCCTCGGACAAACTTGACTAAGCTCCATCTTCCCCTCTACCCTAGGGGATGAGGTTGACATCCAGAACCTGGACTCTATCCTGGGCACCAGAGGGGCCCCCTTAACCAGCAAGAACCTGCAGGAAGCCTTTGGACACACCACAGGTAAGGACTGGTATTTCCCTCCTTGCTCTCTGCTCATGCATGGTCCCTGCAGCCACAGACAGGAGCACAGGGAGGCTGCTGAGTGTCTGCAGCGAGTGGTTGGCCCATTGCTCAGATGGGATGGGATGTGTACTCAGCAGAGGTTAAATTCTCTCCATTTCTCCCGTCCTTTTAATCTTGCGTTAAAATTTTGTTTTGCTTTATTTGGCACAGGTGGCCTAACGTGAACTCGGTGCGTATCGGCACGATATAAATGCCATCCATCAGTGTCTCAAAGGAGAAGGGGGTTGTGTCTAGAACACGACGTACACAGTGTAGCGTATGGAGGGAGGTGATGGGTGATGAATGGCCTCGGAAAGGGAATTTAATCTTTCGTGGCCTCAGCATCCCACCCTGCCATGGGGGGAGGAAGTTTCATTGCATTATTGTGGCTACAGCCCTTTAGATCCTGAGATGGAAAGGGTAGGTGAAAGGCAAAGGAGTCTCTATTATTATTATTAATACCCTTTTTTTGCCAAGTCTCTCCCACTGGTTGCCAGCATGGCAAGTTTTCAAAACTTCCTTGTTACAGAGGACAGTGTGGCTGTGGATAATCTGGGCTCTGTCCTGGCCACCATGGGGATCCGCTTAACCCCAGAGCAGCTGCAGGAAGTGCTGAGTCGTGCTGATGGTGAGCATCTCCCCAGCTGCCCTTTCCCTGTCACTGCTGAGACTGGAGAACTCCCAAAGGAGTCAGTCCTTGCTGCTGGTGGGACATCTTGCTCCGTTCAAGTATTGCTTGGGCCCTATCCTAGGGGACAAGGTCAGCATCCAGGACCTGGACTCCATCCTGGGCACCATGGGGATCCACCTGACCAGTGAGGAGCTGCAGGAAGCCTTAGGACACACGGCAGGTAGGGGTAAGTATTTCAGGTCCTTTTCCTTGGAGGAAGCCTAGAAACCTCTGGAATCAACAGGGACCATTAAGAAGCCTCTTGCATGCCTGTCCTGGTATTTGTCAGCTGATGAGGACGTGATGCGCACACAGTAGCTATGAGAAACAATGGCTCCCCTTAAAATAACACAGTACTTTCCCACTCACGTGGGGTAAATGTGGAGGAAAGTTGCTGATGGTGAGAATTCAATGATTGTTCCTCTCTAGTGGTAAAATCCTCCTTCCCTGTCTCAGCAGTGCATAGTATATTATTTTTGTACCTCCAGCTGTTGTTATGCTATAATGGGGGGTCGTGTTCAATGAAGTCAGTCTGGATTCCTACCAGGGTAAAGGGAAGCAAGTCCCAGGACTTTTGCTTTCAACTTTCCTTTTTTCCAGTGCCTGACCCCGGCCGAGGACTCCATCCTGCCTTCATTTGGGAGGAAGAAATCTCTAAACAACCTCTTGTGAAAGCCTTTTTCTTGTGCAGTAGCTTCCATGAGGTTCATCGCCAACATCAGTCCTCTCTGCACTCTGGTGTCTGTTATTTCCACTGACGCTGAGCTCCGCTCTCCTCTTGCAGCTCATGGGAAGGTGAATTTGAGTGAATTCATGAAGGCAGAGAAGACGGTCCAGAAACCACCCCTGGGGAAAGGTGAGTGAGAGCTCAGTAATACAAGTTGCTGCTAGATGACAGCAAGCAGGATTAGACAAGAGTCCTTGAGAAGAAAACTCTGTGGCTGCATGTTTAACAAATTGCAAATCTGCCTGGTAATGAAGCTGCACAGGGAGTCAGAGATGCACCAGCAGCTGCAAGGTGTTTCTGAACACCTCACAGCTGGGCTCACTACGGCCACGTGCACTTCCCTGTGCTCTCACGCAGCATGCTGAAACCAGACAGGTAACACAAGTCCATATGCAATTGCATAACACAACCACAGCCCTTGGGCTGTGCAGCCGAGCTCCCAGGGGCACCACACCAAGAGAAGCTGTGCTAAACTCCAAATTCAGATTGAGGATTCAAACTTCCCATCCCTGATCTATGTTTCCAAGGGAACATGTTTCCCACAAGAAACCCTCCTATTGCTCAGGGCCATCAGAAATTAATACATAAAACCTGAGGCTGCTGGAAAAAGCAAAGCACAGCGCTGTTCTTGGCATGCTCCTGCTCCATGTCGTAACTCATGAGCCACGAGGGTGGAAAATCACGGATGTAGGATGGGCTGCTTGAGACTCACAAGGATTTACTTGACACCCTCTGGCTTCTGTTCCCTTTCGTGCCACAATTCTGTTGCGCTACACAGACCTGTTGGCAAGCCACCTCGTCTCGCTCTGTTTCCCCCTCACAGAAGTGATGGCAGGGCTTTTCTCCACCCTGCGCCCTGGTGAGATTAATTTCACTAATGTGCTGAAAAGATTTTAAATCCTCTGGAGGATGGAGCTGGAGAAAGGCAAAAGATGTTAATATCACCGTTCTTATTTTTATATAACCAACCTCCCTTCATGTTCTGGCTGTGCATTGAAAGGGTAGCACCTTGCTGACATGTTTAGGATGGTACTTAAAATACCCATGTTTGGAAGGAAAACAGTGCTCAAAGGGGCTTTTTCTTTCCATAGAGGACAAAGTTGATGTCAGTAATGTGGGCTCCATACTGGCCACCATGGGGATCCATTTAACCCCAGAGGAGCTGCAAGAGGCATGGAAACATGTCCCAGTGGATGGTAAGTGAATCAGAAACGTCGGCAGGAAGGAGCCTCTGGAGGCCTCCAGTCCAGCCTCCCACTTGGAGCCATCTCTTGTGGACACTAGATCAAGTTGGCTGTGGTTTTCCTAGCCAAGCCACGTCCAAGGATGGAGATGCCCCCACTACTGTGGTGACCTGTCCCGGTTTTCCCCACTCTCAGCTCCTGCTGGCAGCTGCTTTGTGCCTCTAGCAGAGAGTGAAAAAGGAGAAGACCTAGCTCCATCTGTGGCTTCCCCAGCCTAGACCCTGTCTAGCCTTTATCCCTGAGCAGGTCTTTCCCTTGCAGAAGGTGGTGATGTTAGCCTGAGTGCATACCTGAGCATGATGAACACACGGAGACCATCACAGGCTGAAAGTATGTGAAAACATCCCCTGGGACTGAGATTTCCTCACTGCACACCATCACTGTAGGGACATTTGCCCTCAGAACTTTTGTCCAACGAGTCTCCCCTTGCTGCTGGGCACTGTTCCCATCTCAACTCTTAGGCGCTCCAGATACGTCATCTAATCACCTCTGGGCTTTCCTCAGTGTCCTTAGGAACAACCAGAAAGATCACTGCACTTCACATGCTGCACTTGTTATTTATACATGACAGGCCAACAGCTGATGTTGGGCTGGATCCCACCTGCAGACACACATCAGTATTTCGCCCAGGCCCACCACGGTTGTACCTTGCCCAATGTGTTGACCTGCTCTACTCCAGTCGATGTTCCTACAGCAGTTCAGGGGCTCCAGTGCAGTGTAGTTATCCGTGGTCTGACACAGGAGACCTGGCCCCTGCATTTCGTTGTTGCCATTTGGGTGGGATTAGATTAGGTTAACACCTGGCACACTGGGATAGCAAAAGGCGAGGTGGTTCCCGGTTGATCACGAAGGTGCTGTCAAGGGATTGAGGACCATACAGCAGTCCAGAGTCCCCAAGAGCTTCCTTATACAAGTAAATGAGTGAGAAGCTTCTTGAAGAGGGACCCTCAGGTTGTGAAATCCCATCCTAAAGCCCTCGGGATTAACCGCACCTGGGGTGTGCTAGTCTCGCTGCTGATTATGGAAGGACCCAGGGTGAGTAATTCAGACCCAGACAACTAGATTTGGATTGTCCTTCCCTTCTGTTATCTCAAGGGAACCGGGTGGATATCCGGAGCCTGGACACCATCCTGGGCAGTGTGGGGATCCACCTTACCAATGAAGAGATGCAAGAAGTGCTGGAGCATGTAACAGTGGATTGTGAGTGCTGCAGGTCTTGCCATCCTCTCTGCAGCTGCTCTGGCAGGGTGAGCTCTGAGCCTACGCTGTTCTCTTGCAGCTGATGGAAAGGTGAATTTAAGTGAATTCATGCATCAAGTCAAAGCTATCCAGTCCACAGCCCAAGGAGCAGGTGAGCAAGAAGAGCTGAACTGCTTGTCTGGTCACCAGAGAGATCAGGAGAGATGCCCTGTTTTCCGCAGAGCAGAATCACTTTCTACCAGCTGCGGATCAGGCCCTCTCAGCCCATCTGTCTATACGTACATATTCCCCCCCGGGAAGAGACAACTTTTCTTTCATCTGGCACAGTGAATAGCAGCTGTGTCACTATGACATTAATCTGCACACATGCAATATCCCACATATCACCTGGAATCATTTCTGAAGGAAGCTCTGAGATCTCTTAAATATTGATCATTAAGGGGCAAGTGGTGGCTATCCAGGACCTGGCACTGTCTTGGCCAGCCTGGGGATCCTGAAATGCCAAGGAAGAGGAGGAGATGCTGCAGCACACCACCGTCAGCGGGCAGCATCCATTAGATTGCTGCAGGTGTTTTGTGGGGCAGTTTGCTTATCAGCTCTGCGTTGACCTGCTCTGACTTGAAATGGAGGCTGGATGCACCCTTCCCATTGCCCAGCAAACTCCTTGCCTCTTTTTGGTTCTTGCCTGTCTGGAAGAACCAAACCATCTTTTGGAGCCAGCCCTTGTTCTAGGCTTTCCAATGCTCTTGTGTCAAGCGTTCTGTTGTGTCTCACTGCTTAGGGCACTGCTGGTGCCCAAAGTCAGCAAAAGACTGTGCTGCCTCCCTCGTTGTCTCAAATGTCATTCTGGAAATACATAACGTTAAGCATGTCCAAAATGTCAGGAGAAAACCTCAGCACCTCCACCAGGACACCAGCTGACTCCCAGTATGGGACCTGGGGGCTCTTCTCCACCACCTCTTGCGTGCCGGGGCTCCCTGGAAGGGCACCCAGCATGCTCATTGCCTTGCAGAAGACAAGATAGTGAATCTGAAAGACTTTGTGAAGGCTCTGAGCAGTAAACTGTGTTGCCTCTCCTGGGCCCTGAGTAAGCTATGATTGCCTGGAAAGGGGAAGTGGAAAACAGAAAACATCTTCACCTCTGGATGTGATCCCAAGTCCTTGGAGAATCTATAATAACACCCTGGGCAAAGGCTAATGCACCCTAATTCCTGCCTACGCCTGCCTTTTCCTATTAACTGGCCCTTGCGTGTTCAGATGATGTCCAGACAATGAGAAATCCTGCACCTAAGAAATTGGCTGGGAAGTGGGCTAGGTGAGGCTTGGAGGACAGGGAATGGTGGCAGCACAGCCTCCCTCTTCTTGGGCTGTCAGTGTTTTTACTTTGGGAGAACAGATTTGTACCACCTTGCTGGCTGTGCTGGGGTGGACAGGCAGTCCTGTCTGGGATCTGGAAGTCTAGACATGGCCCAAAGCATCTTGCTCAATGTCTCACAGATCTTCTTGGGTCAGCGCAGGAACTGAGTCTGGGTCTTCTGCCACCAGCACTGTGGCCGCCCTCGTTCTGGGTCACAGTGCTGTAAGGGGGACGGGCTGCCTGGGAACGTGTGGTTTTCTGTGATTACAACTGCGTGGCCTCTCATCTATTGGTGGAACAAGGATCTGGATTAGCAGGGGGAAGAAAACAACTGTAAGAAAGAGCTAGTGTGATGTTAATTCCTCTTTTGGTGACTAGTCAGGCTTTGGCTACTGCTAGCCACGATGCTTAAGGGGTGGGAAAAAAGAGAGCCGTTTGTCCACAAGTTGCTGCTGCTTCCACAAGCCCCATGGGCAGCAGTCTGTCTTGCAGAACTACCTGCTGTCCCAGGCGCCAGCTACTTTGAAGGGAAGGGCAAGGAGGAAAGGGAATAAACTGTTCTCCACATCTACTGCGGGTAGGATGAGAAATCAGAGGTTTAAACGGCAAGAAGGGGGGGGACTCAAATTAGACATTAGGGAAGATGCTGTACCAGATGACAGGGAATGCTGGGAGGGCATAGGATCTCCACCTCTAGATATCCTAACACCTATGAACAGGATGACACAGTGAGTCCATGCCACTGTAGGAAAAAGCAGGAAGAGGCCTCATCTCAGGGTCTTTCCAGCTCTATTCCTTGTGATGTCTAAGGCTGTAAGTGTTGACTGGAGGGAAGTTTGTGACTCTCTCTGCTTATTTGCGACTTTTCACACCCAGAAAAAGCTGCTCCTGCTCCTGGCCACGTTCCCAAACCCAGTATGCTGAACTCTCTGCCAAAGAAGATGGTGCTAAAATCCCTCCCAGGGAAAACAACCAGGTAAACATGAAGGTGGGGGAAGGATGAGTGGAAATTATGCTCCCCTGGCCTGTTGTGTGATCAAGCACAGGAGCCCTGCCTTCACGTTTCTCTCTGCAATGCTGGTCATGTCAGCATTAACAACTTAAAGAAGAAACATATGAGCTATGGATGGAGGACTGAGCTGGGCTCCTGCACATCTGCCCCATGCGGGCTGTGGGTAACAGAGCTTTGGTCCATCCACTGCTGCTCCATGGCCAGGGCTGTGCCTCCTGGCTGTTGTTTCTGCTTCCCAGGACACATCAGAGCAGGCACAGTTGCCCTTGGTCAAAGCTGACCTGAACTGGGAAAGACATTTGAGATCCCATTACTGTTTCTGTGCAGTCTTGAGCAGTGAACGTGAACTGTTCCACAAGGCTTCAGTCCCATCCTTGTGAGAGCAGAGCTGGGTGGCGAGCTATTCTCTGTCAGTCCTGCCTGCACTGGTCTGGCCCACAGAGCTGAGAGCTATCTGCAGTGTTTGCTCCCACGCCATCAGCGGGAGCTGCACGTCTGTTGGTCTCGGTCACTGTGTGCCTCTCAGATGTCAATCTGTCCATCTTTTTTTATGCCCATGTGTGTGGCAGGGAACGCTCACACATCCCTCAGAAGAGAAGTAAGTGCAAAGCAGCAAAGAACTTGACAAAGAAACAACTGGAAGGTAACGCTGCCTTGTCATCTCCTCCCCCCGGGAAGGCACATCGCCAGCATGCTCAGGAGTAGTTCAATCTTTAGCTTAGCGCTGTGGCATTGCAAGATCCTCCTAAGATGATGACCATGGTAGGGGCCAAGTGTACACAAAGCAAGGGGCAATCCCCTGCCCCAAGGATTTGGGGACCCAGTGACTGAGGGAAGCATCAATGTCCTTTTTGATGGAGAGCAAACTGAGGCTTAGGAAGGCAGAGCTAGGAACTAAACCAAGCATCTCACCCAGTGCCCCCCAGTAAATATAGACTTGCCCTTCCTCTCCCTAGAATCCCCAATTCTCCTGCGCTGTTGGTAGCTGTTTCGAGGCAGATGCTTTGCAACTGGCAGTAAGGAACAACCTCATCCCCAACCCCCAATCCCTAGTGGTTATGAGTCCTTATTTCCAAAAGAGTATAATACAGGTAGTGCCTTCCCTGCCTGCCCAATGTAACCTGCCGTCCTCTCTCTGCTTGCCTGCAGCGTTCCGCAATGCTTTCAACTTCTTCCCTAAAGACCCAGATGGCACTATTAACCTTCACAGCCTGCAGGAGACCGCTAAGGAGCTGGGGATTAGCTTAACCAGTCAAGAGGCGAGCAATGAGCTGGTGTATGCAGATGCCGACAGTGAGTGCACCAGACCACGTGTTACTCCCCTACAGGTTTTTATGAGCCAATTTCTGGGTGTGCAAAGTGACCCTACTCCATATGCCTTCCCAGCCCTGGGAAACACTGTGCTTAAATGCTTCTTGAGCCAGAGGCTATATTTGGGGCTGTAGCGTTTTAGCACTCACCAGTGAATGTATCCTTCATGAATATATGTAGCACATTTTGGGACCCCTTTATGCATCCTGAAGCACTAAGGTCCACAGCCCAGTTACATGTTAAACCTTTAACAGCTTTTTCTCCTACCCTTAGATTTCAGTAACAAATCCTCCTGCATTACTAGCTCTGAACTGCTCACCTCAGCTTTTCATTACACTGCCCTGGGGCAGAAAAGTGCTTTGCTAATGGAGATGCTATTTGCTTGCAGGAGACGGCAAGGTGAACTTCTCTGACTTTCTGACCATTGTTACTGACAACAAGTGTTTCATGCAGGCAATAGGTAAGTAAGAGACATCCTGCCCAAGCAAGTGGTTATTTTCCCCTCCAGCCGGAACCTCTCTTATCCAGAACTATCCAGATTGCCTGATCTTCAGAATAATTGGGAATGAGCAAGAAATCAGCATCTGGGACCCAAAGGAATGAAGGCTGCTCTACTCAGAAAAAGCAGAAATAGCTCACCGAACCATGACAGTCGAACTCAGAGCTAGCTCTGCCTCCTTGCAAAGAGGGCTGAGAGAAAAGCACTGGGAAGAACCATCTTTGTGCCTGCCAGTCTCAGCAAGGGGAGTGCAGGCTCGGGGGCAGGAATCCAGCATTCAGTCCAAATCTTCCCGGCTACAATAGCAGAGGCCAAACTCATCTCTTACAAGATGGAAAGCAAAAGTACTAGGAGACTTTCTTGTTCTTTGGCTGCTGGAAAAAGGCAGGGAATTTTCCTCCTAGCCAAATACCTAATTAGCACTTAGCAGCAAATGGGCATGTCTCACCATGGCATAACTTGTCCAGACCTTCCCGGGGGTTGCTGGGGTCTTTGCTCTCTTTGAGCTCTGTGAAGGTAAGACAAGGCTCAGTCGTGGCTCTGACCGCTCTCCACTTCCTCTCCAGTCCCGGAGAAAAATTATACAGGCAACTTTGACTCCAAGGATGCCAGAAGGATCCTGCTTTTCGAAATCTTGTCGAAACTGGTGGAATTGGCTGCTCTGCCCCGGAGAACTCTGCTTGAGATTGTCAGGTGAGCTGCCTTAGCTCCATGAGATGGAGAAGGGAGGTCTCCATTTCATCCCTCTTTCATAAGGATATTCATGTATAATATAATTCAATACACTGAAAAGAGGGGCTCAGGACTAGTTTTCCAGAAATGTTCGGTATCTAGCAGGACGTACAAAAGCACCTCAATACATCAGGCACCTGCTCTACAAAGACACTGCTGTAAATGCCACTGTGTGCCTGTCCCATATCTTTGAGGCCTAAATATCTTCATATATCTGGTCCTTCCAGACGCACAGTTCCTGCAGTACACTGGTATACAGCAGCCAGTGCTGAGTAGGGCTTTGGGCTGTGTTTCACCAGACAACAACCCCATCTTTTGTCTTCTAGGTACTACCAGCAGAAGTTTATGAATTGCACTGGCCAAAAAGCCTGGAAGGATTCTGACAATTCAATGTATTGTAAAAAGAGGCACCACAAAATTAGAAAAGATCAGGCTTATGTATCTTCCTTTGTAAGCGCTGCCCGCATCTCTGTCATGAATGATAAAGACTTAGTAGCTTATGTGGAGGGCCTTAAAGGTAAGACTTGCCCACTGTCTGTCACTCCCAGGCTGGGAAGTCATCGAAGCTGCGAGGGGAGGGTACCAGACTGTGCCATTTGCCACAGCTTCTTCTGTTCCTTCCTGGCACGTGGTCCTCTCCCAAGGTGGAGGATAGCTGGGTTGGCTCTGCATTAGTTAACCCTTCCTGCAGCCCAGGTCGTAATTCCAAAGAGGATCAAAGAAAACAGAGCTGGAACATACTTTGGGAGTCCATCTAGCCCCTAGCTGTCCTCCGGAGTCAGGGCTGTCTAAACCGTAGCCAGCTCTTAAGGCCTTCACAGTGGCAACGCTAGCCTTGCCACAGACAGTAAATTGAGGGCTTCTCCCAGGGGAAGGAGCAAAATCGAATAGTTGGAGAGAATTCTGCTCCTGGGACTGTTAAGGACAAAGGAATCGCCCTCCAGAGGTGCCTGTGCTGGACAACTAGCTTAAACTTAGTCAGGCCGCTAAAAGGCGTCCAATGGTAGGTGAGCTCAGTGTTACCCCAACACCTTGCAGGCACCTGCGTGCCATGGATTTCAGTAAACTGAGCACCTCAACACAGAGGCCAAGTGACTGGTGTATTTGCAGCTCCCACCCTATGCCTCTTAATGTTGGGCAAGCAGGATTGCAGCTACTGTGACTCATGTTTCAGACAAGTGAGAAATTCAGGACTTAGTCCCGCCTTGGTCAGAAAAGGAGATAAACCAAAAGGCAAGAAGCAGCTGGCTGCTGGCTGTACAGTTAGTGACTCTTGTCCTCACTTCTTTTCGCTAGCATGTGTACCCCTTTCAGACAGCCCTTATGCTGAGGTACCCATCTTCCCGCTGATTCCTAAACAAGACACAATAATAGCAGGAAGGCCAAAAAAAGATTTGCAGAAGCTGGAGAGGCAGAGAAGGAATGAACCAATAGCTTCGTCTGAGAACTTCTTCCATAAGAGAAACTGGCTGCAGGAGGTGAGAGAGGCAAGCAACGCTTCAGCTACATAACAGGAATAATGGAAGCTTGGGGACAAGTCTGATAGCTTGTGCTTTGTTTAATCAGGCAACTGCGTTCAAGCTTCCCGCTGACTTCAGAAAGCAGAGAAGCTCCCCTAGAGTCAACCCAGAGCTCCTGAACAAACCATGTCATCTGACAGCAGACAAACTGGGCAAGATGCAACTAGATGTGAGTATGAAATCCAGCCCCACACCCTGGCTGCTCTCTGGCAGCTCCCTGCATTGACGTTCTGTATTTCACCAGTCACTTGCTTCACGTTCATCTTCCCTCCCTCCTCTCCACTGCAGCACTCTCTTGCCTCAAGAAGAATGGGCCAAGAGGTTTTTATCCCTAGAGCAGTATTTCCCATCTGCATCAAAGGGAAAGATGAGCTTAGGAAATAGCAGAAAGAACAGCCAACCTTTTGGGGACTGCAGTGAATGTCAGCAGAGCTGGCACTACTGTCACCCACACTGCGGGGTGAGCACGAGTTCCCAATGCTCTCGTAGTAGCTCCTTTCCTTAACCCTAAATACATGCTATGGATGTGTCCCCCAGAGCTGCTGTGGATTCCTGTGGAAATCTACGGAGCAACCTTAGTTCCTTAGCAAACAAGTACAACTGCTGTTGAAATAGGTGGGAGAACTAGACACTGCGCAGCTGCAAAGTTCAGGCTACCTTGCCTAAGCATGCAGGTTTGATAATGTCACCATCCACTCTGTGCAGAGATGACAACCCTGGCTGGTCCTTCTCATTCTGACCCAGTGCCCTAAGCCCAAACCCACCCCCCTCAGATTGCAAGGCTCTTGGGGATATACAACAACAACAAAAAAAGGTGTGATTGTCATTAAGGTAGAAAAATAAACGACATAGTCATAGGTGCAGTCCATGTTATTCCTTATTTCTCATGGTAACCATTTCATCAGTAGACACAAAGTAGGACCAATAAATAATGGTATTTGATAACACCACTTAGATACGGCAGCAAGGAGATGGGGACTATCAAGATACTGTAAAACGTGGAACACAGATGTTACCCTTTATAACATGCGGACTGCAATTAGACCAGAACGGAAGAGTGACTGGTCACTCACAAAACCTTTAAATTAACTCTCTGATGAACGTTTTAACTGGACGCAGGTATTATAGAGTAATTTTGTCCCAAGTTCAAAGAGAAATGAAAGCAAAGGCATAATAATAGCTTAGTTGTTTACTACTGTTAATCGTCAACACGCATTAGTTATAACCCGCTGCCACCCCATTATAAAGCACCACTGAGGTGCTTTTTCAGTCTTGCATGTTCCTCCTGTCTGGCACCTGGGTGAAGCGCTGCCCCTTCCTCTACCACCTCTGTCAATCTTCCTCCCTTCTCCTAGATGAAGAGGGCAACCCAACTGTACAGGCAGGGCCTGGCCCTCCACGAGCGCGCCAGGCTGCTGAGGCTGTGGCGGAGGATCCGCGGGGGCCAGATCGCCCTGGAGACGGGCAGCGAGCGCTTCCACCACATCTTCTCCGTCTACTCCTGGTCCTGGAACACGTGCCAGGAGCTGGTGACGCCCGACGACCTCCGCAGGGTGGATAACGAGCTCTACCGCAGGCCGCGGGGCTCCAGCACCCGGGCGAGCCGGGCCGCGGCGCGGGGGCAGGGGAGCAACGACA